TGCTCGGAAAGCTTAAATCCAAGAAGCCTCATAAAGATTTGAAAACATTAAATAAATTCAGAAAATCTTGAAGAAGCTTAAGGGAACCCACTTCAAAAATGTCCAAGGGAACCGGACAGAAGCTCAGGTGGACTTTGAAGAATTTTAAGAAGGTCTGGAAGAAGGTCTGGAAGAAGTTAGGGCACTTTTAAGAAATGAAAAAAAATAAATCAGGAACGTTCAGGGGAGCTCCGAAAACTTTAAAAGCTTTAAATAATATCAAGGAACCTCAGAAACATGAGAGAATCTTGAAAATCTTAAGACCTTAGATAAATTCAAGGATGCTCAGTGTAGCTTTAAAAACCTAAAATAAAATTCCGAACCTTGGAAAGACTCTTCACAAACTTCCAAAAGGAATCGAAGGGAACCGAAGGGAAGCGAAGTACAGAAATAAAATAGAAATTCACAAAAGTTCAGGGAACCTCAGAAAAGCTTCAAAAACCCTCAATATAATCATTGAGTCTTAGAGAACCTTACATAAAATACAGATAACCTTAGAGAAACTTCAAAGAAGTTCAGCGGGCTTCAAAAAAATTCAAAAAATATTTAGAGGAACATGAGATATGATTTGGAAAGCTTAAATTAATTCAAATATCTTGATCCTTAGATATTCTCAGAGTGCTTCAGATAAATAACCGGAATAACGGAACTACAAAGAAGCATTGAGAACCTTAAATAAAACCAAAAAAACCTCGAAGAAACTTTGGGACCTACGAAAAGGCTCTCCAAAAATGTCCGACAGAGCCGAAGAAAACCTTAGGTGACCTTTAGAGAAGTCTAGATAACTTTCTAAGAAGTATATATAAATTTATAGGTATTTAGGGAACCTCACAGAATTTCATGAAAATTTAGAGAAATTCAAGGGAACCTCAGAGAACTTTATCGGAAACTAAAAAAAATGGCAGATTACTCCAAAGAAGAACCGATTACAGCTGATCAGAAAACAATTCAATGAACTTGAGATAAGCTTTAAAAACCATAAACAGCAATCTTTGGAGAACATCAGATGTTCTTCAGATTAATTCAGAATCCACAGAAGAGCTTTGAAAATGTTAAATAAAAGTACACGAAGAAACCTCGCAGAAGCTTTGTGACTTAGGATGCGACTCTCCAAAGATATCCAACAGAGCCGAAGAGAAGCTCAGGTTATCTTTAGAGAAGTTCAGGAGAGTCTCAGAGAAGTTCAGGGAACTTCAAAGAAGCAAAAAGGAGTTCAGAACTGATCAGGGAACCTCTGAGGAACTTTGAAAATCTCAAATAAACTCAAGACACCTCAGAGAAGTTCACGAAAAATTTAGAGAAATTCAAAGGAACCTCAGAGAAGTTTGACAGGAATTTCGAATAAGTTCAGCGTACTCCAGAGAAGTTCAGCATACTTCACAGATGATCATAAAATAATTCAGGGAACGTGAAAGAAGCTTTAAAAACCTTAAATTAGGTCAGTAATCCTTGGAGAACCTCAGATGTACTTCAGATAAATTTAGAATCCACAAAAGAGCTTTGAAAATGTGAAATAAATAGAAGGAAGAAACCTCTTAGAAACTTTAGGAACTCTCTCGAAAGAACAGAGCCTCAGAAACAGGTGAAATTTAGAGAAGTTTAGAAGAATCTCAGAGGAGTTAAGAAAACTTCAAAGAAGTAACTAAAAATTCAAAATGATAAGGGAACCTCAGAGAAACTTGGAAAATCTTTAATAAATTCAAGGCATGTCAGAGAAGTTCACGGACAAATTTGAGAAACTCTAGGGAACCTCAGAGAAGTGTGGGGGAAACTACGAAAAGACTCTCCAAAGATGTCCAAAAAATCCAACTTTAGAGAAGTTCAGAAGAGTCTCAGAGAAGTTCAGAGAACTTCAAAGAAGCACAGATAAATTCAGAAATGGTCGGAGAACGTCAGAGAAACTTGGAAAATTTAAAATAAACTCAAGGCATCTCAAAGAAGTATTTCAAAGAACTTCAGCGTAATCCAAAGGAGTTCAGCATACTTCACAGATGATCAGAAAACAATTCAGGGAACTTGAGGGAAGCTTTAAAAACCTTAAATTACGTCAGAAATTTGTGTTGAACCTCAGAAGATGTGCTTCAGATAATTTCAGAATGCCCAGAAGAGCTTTGAAAATCTATCTATCTATCTATATATATAAAAATGAATTTCTGTCTGTCTGTCTGTCTGTCTGTCTGTCTGTCTGACCCTTATAGACTCGGAAACTACTGAACCGATTGGCGTGAAAATTTGTATACAGGGGTTTTTAGAGCCGTGGAAGGTTCTTATGATGGTTCGAGACCCCTCCCCCTTCTGTAAGGGGGGGCTCCCATACGAATGAAACAGAAATTTCTGCATAACTCGAGAACTAATCAAGCAAATGGAACCAAATTAAAGGGTGTCCACGATGAAATTGCCACACACAAAATTGATTCGCAAAATTCGAGTTTTCATCCGATTGCCATCAAATTTTCAGGGATTGAGAAATAACTATTAAACTTCATTTTACCATTTTACTCGTATTTTATTTACAGTCCATGCGCAAATGCCCGCACCTTGGCCTTAACCCCGGCCATAAGATTCTGCACAACCTGTGAATCTACCGTTTTTTGCATGTAAACCCATACTTTCTTCAGTTCCTCGACTGTCTTCACTACCTTAGGTCGTTTAAGAAGGTGCTGCTTCATATTCGCCCAGTACTTCTCGATGGGGCGGAGCTCCGGAGTGTTGGGAGGGTTGAACATTTTCGGCACGAAATTGACCTTATTGTCCGCATACCACTTCAGCACGTCCTTGGAGTAGTGGCATGAGGCCAAATCCGGCCAGAAGATTGTTGGGACGTTGTGGGCCTTCAGACGAGGAAGCAGCCGCTTCTGGAGGCACTCTTTTATGTACACCTGTCCGTTCATCGTATCCTGGGTCACGAAAGGTGCACTCCGCTTCCCGCACGTGCAGATGGCTTGCCAAACCAGGAATTTCTTCGCAAATTTGGACATCTTCTGAGTGCGGACATGCTCCGGAACGCTGAACTTATCTTTGGCCGTGAAAAACAGGTTGCCGGGGATCTGTTTGAAGTCGGCCTTCACATATGTTTCGTCGTCGTCGTCAATTAAGAAGAGTCTCAGAGCAGTTCAGAGAACTTCAAAGAAGTAAATAGAAGTGATCAAGGAACCTCAGAGAAACTTGGAAAATCTTCAATAAATTCAAGGCATCTCAGAGAAGTTAACGAACAATTAAAAATAATTCAAGGGAACCTCAGAGAAGTTTGGCGGGAACTCCTAAGAAGTTCAGCGTACTCCAAAGAAGTTGAGTATACTCCAAAGAAGTTGATTATACTTCACAGATGTCCAGAAAACAATTCAGGGAACTTGAGAGATGCTTAAAAACTTTAAATTAGGTCAGCAATCTCGAGGGGAACCTCAGATGTGCTGCAGATAAATTCAAAATTCACAGCAGAGCTATGCAAATTTTAATTAAAAATAAGGAAGTAACCTCGAAGAAACTTTGGGAACTACGAAAATATGTTCCAAAGAGGTCCAACAGAGCAGAAGAGAAGCTCAGGGGAACTTTAGAGAAGTTCAGGAAAGTCTCAGAGAAGATCAGGGAACTTCAAACAAGTAAATGTAAATGATCAGAGAACCTCAGAGAAGCTTGGAAAAATTTAAATAAACTCAAGGCATCCCAGAGAAGTTCACTGAAAAATTAAAGAAATGCAAGGGAACCTCGGAGAAGTTTGGCGGAAACTCCAAAGAATTTCAGCGTACTATAAACGAGTTCAGCATACTTCACAGATGATCAGAAAACAGTTCAGGTAATTTGAGAAATGCTTTAAAAACCTTGAATTAAATCAGAAAATGACGCTTAGGGGAACCTTTGACAGACTCTTCAAAGATGTCAGAGATATACTATCATAGAACCCAAGAGACGCTCAAGGAAACAGAGGAGAAGTTCAAGGGAACCTCAGAGAGCTTCAACATACTTGAAAGAAATTCATAAAACAATTCAGGCTTGAGAAAAGCTTTGAAAACTTTTAAGTAGGGTATTTTTTTTTTGGGAATCCCAGATGTGAAAATGTTAAATAAAATAAGGAAACCTTCAAGAAGCATAAAAAATCCAGGAAATACTCTTCCAAACCGACCAACATGCTTAAGCGAAACTTAGGTGAACTTTTGAGAAGTTCAGGTGGAACTCAGGGAAGTTTAGGGTACCTAAAAGAAATGCATAAAACTTCAGAAAAAAAGCAGGAAACAATTATAGAAGTTCAGATAAACCTTAACGAAATTGATCGCTGAAGTTCGCTTCAAGTTCAGGTTACAGTGCATGAGAAAAGCATTGAAAGCATTTAATACAATCAAGAATCATCAGGAAGCTTCAGATTTGCTCAGAATTCTTCAGATAAGCTCAAGAAACTGATTAAAGTCGGTCAAAGGATCAGAGTATTTCAGAAAAAAAGAGGCACAACTTGGAAAACTTTAAATAAAATCAGGAAATTACATTGGGCTTCAATGAGCCTCAGAAAAGTTTAGGAAACCCTCGGATAGACTCTTAATTGTTGTTCAATGAACCTCAGAGAAGTTAATCGTACTTCAAAGTAGTTCATCAAACAATTCAGGGAACATGAGGAAAGCTTTTAACAACTTAAAAAAAATCAGGAATCTTAAAGGAATCTTGTTTATGGAACTTCAGATAAGTATTGGACAAGAGAAGCTCAGTGAACCGCCGCGACATGCAGGGAATCGCAGAGATCTTCAAGGAGCCTCTTTCAAAAACACAGAGAATGCCATCATATCTCAGTTAAGTAGCCATATAAACCTTATAACACCTTCAAAAACTCCTTCGAATTTACCAATAAACCCGGTGACGTAGCTCCAGAAGTCATGTAGGCTTCTGGAAATTTACACCACAAATTTTTCGGAATCGTCTCTTAAACTCTTATGCAAAAAAACATGTTAGGAAGTTCTTTATCCCATAAAACTTACATTATGATTCCTCCAGTGATCGTAGATCCGCGGTCGAAGCTTCTTCGTGACAACATTTTCCTGCATCTCCTCCAACGTCGGATGGGAGCCAAGTTCGGCCTCGAACGGTAGTCGATACTCATCCACTATGCCACCGTGTACCGTGCAACGCGAAACCAGCTCCCACAGGGCCAAACCGCACGCATACACGTCGATCCGCAGAAACGCGTCCCGGGTGAAGTTGATAGCCCCTTCCAGAATTTCCGGTGCCATGTAGCGGCGAGTTCCGACCTGACCGTGAGTGTCTCCGCATGGTTTACCTAAAATCGATCTCAATCAGAACACAGTTGCACGTAAATGTTGTCACTCACGCAGTACCTGGTGTGAAGATCAGTGCCAGTCCAAAATCAGCAATGCACGCCGTCAGATCGTCCTTCAGTAGCACGTTCTTGCTCTTGAAATCGCGATGGGCAATCGACGGCTTCAGTCCTTCCGTTTTGCTGCTCTGAATTTCCTCATGCAGATGCATCAAGCCTCGGGACATGGTCTCGGCGATGCGACACAGCTCCTGCCACGTAACGGTATGCGACTTCAGATAGTCACACAGCGACCCGTGACTGCAATAGGCCGTGATTAACCAAAAGTCCGTGTTGTTCAGTTCAACGCGCTTCTCGCAACCGATGAACTGAAGGATGTTCGGGTGGTTCATACGAGGTAGCTGAAAAAATACGTGAAATGCTTGATCGAAGTCCAGGAATGCATAAACGTCACCACTCTTACCTTGAATATCTCCTGCTCCGTGAGCCACGATTGCTTCTCTTGCATGGGGAAAATCTTGACCGCAACCTCTTGGGACATCAGCTTGGCCTTCCACACTACACCGAACCGTCCCCGAGCCTTTAGATCGACCAACTGAATCGGTCTCAGGGCAATGTTTGGTGAAGAACTGGTGATTTCCGGCTCAATCTACAACGAGAATTGATAAACTCTTGCTTGACTACAGGCCCCTCCACGCCATCCTTACCGTCGGTATCTCGTTGAACATGGACTGCTTCCGACGGCGCAGCACAAACGCCACAATCGAACTGAGCAGAGCCAGCATTCCCGTTACGGCCGATGCCACCAGAAACAGATTGCTGGTTTCCTTTGGCACCGGATTGACCGTTTCCGGCGGATTCGTCACATTCGGAACCCATCGATGCTCTCGGTTGCACATGTTGGCCCGACAGCAGCAGTAGTTCAGGTTGTTCTTGGTCCCCAGTGACGTGTCGATGCATTCCGTCCCATTGCACTCGTTTGGATTGCTGAAGCAACCCTTCATCGTTACTTTGACTTCGTCTAAAATTAAACTCCAATTACAACCGCGACCCGTGAAATTTGAAATATCGGCCGAACCGTACTTGTCACATTGTTGGTACTCCACACGACGAAACATCCCATCGGTTTCTCGGACTCGCCCTCGTCGCAAACCTCGGTACCGACCGTGCAGTCACCATCTTTGCACTCGTACGTTTCACAGACCAGCCCGGTGCCGGTTTCCGTATTGCTCCGGCTGAGCGATGCTTCCAATCCAACCGTAACTGCAATGAAACAAAAAAGCAGAGAGAAAAGTCCATAAGAGTTTCCATTTTCCGGCCCCCAACATTGGTTGGTCGGTACGGCTCCATTCAAAGTCAAAACATAAGCATCATTTTAAAATGGGCCAACAGACGATGCACAGGGCTCGGTTAAGTTGTGTCATAATGAAGTTCATAAAGACGGCGCATCGCACAGATAGAAGAGGAGGCTTTTGTAAAGTGAGACGAATGAAAAGCAAAACAAGCCTACTGCCAATCGCTGACATTTTTGCCGACGTGGATGATTCTACGCTATTCTACGTTTACGACTTCCGAGGGGGAATTAATGGAAACTATTGTTAATCTTGGAGTTGTATAGAAGAGCTCAAGACATGATTGATTCTTCCAAGTCAAAAACATGTCTTGGAAATTTCAATGGAGGTTGTGCATGTGTTATCAAACAATAGCTTTTTTTCGTTTCTATCTAGAAACGTCGCAAATGACGGACTCGGCAATATCTTAACCTATTATCGTCAGCGATTTACCTCCGCTCGTTTGCAAGTTAATACAACATGTTTCAGAGCATCCTAGTTGAGCACTCATGGACTTTGTCGATCCCCCTGACGGTAATAGCTGAAGGTTAAGGGGCAAGACATCATAGATATGTTTGCATGTACAGTAATAACCCGATTTTGTCAGCGCCTCCGTGCATCAGACTTGTATCTTTCATTAATTTCATATAACCGTAAATGAAAATCTCCGTCATTCATCTTCAATATGGATTACTTTGTCTGTGTCATTACTGTATCATCAAATATTTCAAAATATCAACGACAAAATCAGAGCATCTCCAAAAACGGGACTGGGTCATTTCGCCGAAAGTCATCTCGCCAAGTGGGTCATTTCACCGAGGAAAAAAATCCCGAATTTTAATTGGGGAGTTAAATGCATATTCGTAATCTACTTCAAAAATAGAACCGAAATCCAAAATGTCTTCAATGTTGGTGCACTGCAGGGTTGCCAGGTATTTTTAGAAAAAAATCTTCAACGAGATCGACGAAACGTCGTCATATGTCTTCACTGCTACTTAAACAAATTGCGAGCGGGGGAATGTTTTCAATATTTCAGATTTATAATATGTACTGAGTCTTAACAGAAGTTTGAGTTGCCTGTAGAAGTTAAGGGCGATTCGTGGAAGTTAAGAAACCATAATTTGATGTCAGAGAACTTTATAGAAGTTCGATGAACTTCGTAAAAGTTCAGGTGGTGTAACTTCAAGGAACATCATAGATCTTCAGGATGCTTCGTTGAACCTTAGGAAACTTCTTAGACGATCAGGGAATTGCGTAGAAGTATTGAACACTTTATATAGCTGCAGCAAAAAGGTGCAAAAGCTAAGCGAACTTCGTAGTGGTGCAGATAATTTTGTAGATCTTCAGCATTTTTTGTAGAAGTTCAGAAAACTTTGCGTTAGCGAGCTTAAGAATTATTCCATCAATATTGCAGAACCCAGGGAAATTTATTGAATTTCAGGTTTTCTTCTTTGACTCCATTGAACATCGAAAAACTTCAGGGGACATTGTAGAAATTCTGGAGATTTAATAAAAATTTGGAGGACTTAGAAGAGCTTAAGGATTTCGTAAAATTTCTGTGTTTTTTTTTTAATTTGAAAAAAACATCGTTGAGGTGAGAACTATGTACAAGCTTGAGTAACTTTGTTGAAGTTAAGAGAACCTTGTTAAACCCGTAAAAGCCCAGGACAAAGTCCTTTTTTTTCAAAAATTTGTATCTCAGAGATGCCATGGCCGATTAAACTGAATTTTTTTAACATCATTCTGGTGAGTGATTCTTACATCTGTTGGGTAGTTCTCCCACAGGCCTGTCCCTTTTTGTTATATTTTCAAGAATGTGTTGGCACGGGGGTGTTTTTTTAATCTTTATCGTGTTTATCATTGCGATAACATACTGATTTTTTTCGTGGAACTCCTGAAATGATAGAGAACAATCGGATCTGGATGTTCCGGATTATGGGTCCAAATGGTCAAATTTATTATTTATCATAACCATATCTAGCGACATATCAAATCACATCTACTCGATGAAATATGACCAATGGCATTCAAAACGACAACCATTGATCCATATGGCCACCATCATGGTTCCACATGGTCAAATTTGATATCTCCCATAACCATATCAAGCAACATATCAAATCTACTCGACGAAATATGACAAATGGCATGCAAAATGACATCCATAGGGCCATCGTAGAACGGGTTCCAAATGTTCCGAATCATGGTTCCACATGCGCTTCTTTAAAAGGATACTTTATCCACTAGAAGCGCATGAATTGTTTCTTTGTAATAATCTCTCCTTATTGTATAATTCAAGGGGTAACCAACTCTGCACACTGTGCCGAAACACTGTTCGGCACGATAGGGCACACTTTGACAAGTAGGACACAAACAAAATAATATAAAACGGCATCACCGTTGAGTGTTGATGTTTAGCCAATCGTTGACTACTCGGTTGAATACTTCGTTAACCGGTTTCGAGGATCGTTCGAAAAAAAAATCTACAAGTATTCTCTGAACCGTGACCGGTTGAGAGTGTGTTTGCAATACGGCAGTCAAGACGGCTGAAACGGGTTACTTCCAGCGACAAGTGGTCAAAAGCCTGGAAGATCTGGTCATCCAATACGACGGTATAGTTCTGAATTCGATCGACGAAGTCGTTGAGTCTTCCTATGATGCAGACTGGTTGGACGCAAACAATCTCATCAATATCAAACAAATAGATCCCCTATATGCCAGCGATTAACCTCGACAAACTCTCACATCCTTCTCCACATGCTTTCATCAAAGGTCACCCAGGCTTTATTCCAGAAAACCCTTCTTATTTTTGGTCTAAATATTATATACAATCGTGGGCATCCAATCTCGAAGCGTACAACGAAGTATCAGAGCAGGATTTTCTTCGAGAGTTGAGATACATTTACAAGTTTGTTATGCAGAAGAATCAAGATATAAAGAAAAGCTTATCAAAGGAGGGTGACCTGATTCGAATACCGATCTTGCCGAGGATCATCCGCAATGGAAGTTTTCACGTTTTCACCTGCGTTTTCTCTCGGTTATTCTTGCCAGTCTCAATTGGTATGGACTTCAATGGGATAACCAAAGGACTTTTTAGGGATGTCCATATAATTTTGAAAGAAGTTCCAGTACTGCTGTGGTATGTCAATACGTATTAACCCCACATATTCTATCAGACCTGGACCGGTGTACGAATGCCTTAGCGCAATAGCATAAGAGATCCGGTTATTTTGCAGATGCATCGCTGTCACTATCCTTCTGTAGAACGAGCTCGAGGGTCCTCAGTGCGATGGGTTGCCTACCGATCGGTCAACTGTAAGGCCTTGGTATTACTGGAAAAAATCTGTCGAGGCTTTATTAAAAACTGGCTCGAGGATGCTGCTCTTAGAATCGGGAAGAATTAGATACGCAGCAGGTAACAATTTGATCCATCATTGGTCAAGCTACATCTTCGTTTCTGTACATCTGCAAAAAATCAGCACTTCATCGATCCAGAATCTGGTGGACGGGTTCAATTTTCTTGAACACTGTATAGGTTTCTGCCTTTCACGTCCTCTACCACTTCCCGAAGGGAAGCTGATTGCTTGTCATGATCCGTCAGAGAAATTGAGAATGTAAACACAATCACAAAAGTAGTAGCTTTCGGGCACACTTTGATTGACCCTTGATTGACAGCACAGCGCTAAGCACAGCTTTCGGCACAGCTCAATCACTCGGTACCGATTAAGGTATGCAGAATTGAATACCTCTTGGTAGAATTGTAAATTAAAATATTCTCTTCATTCCTTTATTTAACGTCGGTCTCTGTTCCGCAATCTAGTGCCAATCACCGACGGACATCGATTGCCATCGAATGTACAGGGAGGCAGCTTCTACACCTGCTTAGGATATCGCACCCATTCAACACACATGGGCCGAGACCAACGACTTTACTTCCCTTCCGAAGGAAGACGTGACTAGAGATTTTTATGCCTCAGTATGCCCACCGACCTCGACTGGGATTGAACCCAGATCCATTGAGGTTAGAAAGAAGTCACGCTTACCACTACACCACCGGCGCCGGCTAATTAAAATATTCTCAGCCTGTTGCAATGACAACGAAACAGTTTCCGACTTTTTAACCTCACTTTAGCAATAGTTTGAGTTTATAATTTTCTTAGTGTTCTAGTACTTACGTTTAGTGTTTCTATTGCAAGTAATTAGTTAGTGCTGGTTTAGCGCATAGGGTACCACAATGTATGCTGCAATAGTTAATCATTGTTGTTTTTTTACGTTTCACAATTTCACAATGTGTATCAGTTTTACCTGTCGTAGCGAATCGAATAGAATTAACTTTAGGAATAGTTCTCTGTAGATTTAAGTAGCAATAAGTTTTAGATGTAATTTAGCTGTAAATCTAAGTAGACATAATTATTATTTTTTACTATTGTTAATGACCACAAGTCTTACCAATCCACTTCTACGTTCAATTTTGCCAAGTAATACTGCATGACATTTAGTAGCAATAGATATTAATTTTAAGGTAGGTAACTTTTATTAGTTTAGTAGTGTTAGTTGTACTGCAAGGTCTGTTGCTATTTACGGGGTGCGGCGTAGCTTACTACACTGAAACTTTCCCGATGGTGGTTCGTTGCGGCTGCGGTCGCAACACTCCTCCCCAGTACGTCGCGATCATTGATCCGACTTACTTACTATCGAACCGACATCTAGGATTGCCAGCTTAACTGCTGGTCTCTCGAGAATTCCGCCAGCTGTTCGCACCGACGCCCGTCGGACCTGGCCGTCCTTAGATTTGACGACTCCGACGACTTTTCCCTTCGGCCACGAGTTCCTGGGTTGATTATGGTCAACCACGACTACGAGATCTCCTTCTGCCAAGGGTTTAACAGCTTGAAACCACTTCTTCCTTTTGGTCAGCGTTGGAAGGTACTC